GGATACAGAGATATGGAGAGGCAGAAGGGCATTCAAACAAATCAGTTATTCCTAAACATGACTGCCAATTAAAATGATCTGGTTCCATCTCTGACCAATTACATCAGAATAGGTGATGGTGGGGCCCAGACATGATTACTTTGTGAAAGCTCCTTGGGTATTCTACTCTACAGTTATGTTTAAAAAGCAATGTAGTTATGTTTAAAGAGCACCATTCTAAATTTAAAGGAGCTCGGAGAGGGATCCTCAGTCAGAGATATTAAGCAATTCCTATTTTTGATTCTGTACTATGGGAATCAAAAGGTAAAGGAAAATGGAAAGGATAACCATTAAGTTGCCAAGCTACAATCGAAATAAATTATATATCACTTTCTAACTGAAGAGAAGATAGACATTAATTTTTAAATTACAAAACCAATAGCTTAACTATGCAACTAAATTGTTAAAAAATTGGTACTATAAGTTGCTCTTTTTACCTTTACATCTAAAAACTACTATAATCTTGCCACAAGTTAAGACTAGTATCAAAATCAGTCAATATTCTCTCATTAATTCAACATTCATTAAGCTTCTGATACATACCAAAAACTGTGTTAAGTGAAAGAGCATTAGTGAATAAGACAGAACTTACTGGTGACTAAGCTCCCTTATACAGAACACTCAGGCTATCGTAGAAATACACACTGACCAAAATTATAAGTATGATAATTGTTACAAAGGTAGGTATGAAAGTATCAAGCACAACAGAGGCTTATAAACCTGAGGGATTGAACTTAGTCTGAGGGGTGAGAAATGGGGCAGAGGAGTTGGCAAAATTCAGGGAAGTTCTCAGAAGAAGTAACACCTAAAGTGAGATCTTAACCCAAGAGCAAGTAGTTAATTAGGTGAGAGCAAGGCCAGTGGCAAGCATGGCAGGGGAAAATACCATATGTACAAATTCTGAGGTAAAAGGAAAAATTAAAGCATTCCAGGAACTGAGAGAAGTGACTATACCTAGGGCATACAAAAAAGGGAGCAAGGGAAACAGCAGCTCATAATGAGATTAGACAAGTAGGTAGATGCCAGATCACAGAGAACCCTGCAAGTGGTGTTAAGGGTTTGAACTTCATTCTCAAAACAATGGGGAATCACAAAGTTTTAAACAAAGGAATGGCAATCTTTTGGCAAGCTGATCTAAATAAAGCTAAATTTTTGTTTGTACTTTCATATAAAGAAAGCCCTGACTAGAATTTCAAGAAACTTGGAGGTAATATAGTCACCGTAACTATGTAAGACCATTTGACACTTTACCTGTCTCACCAGAAATTAGAAAATTAATATTCTGCTTCATTAGTTAGTCATGAGTAACTACATGCTCTATTTAATGGTTATAGTTTTGTCAGCCAGAAAGGACACCCAACTTCTGTGGAAATGCTCTAGTGATTTTGGTGGGAAGGCTACTAATGATAGACTTCACTCCTGTAGCTGAGAAAGTGGATATAAGACCTACACTGGGCTACTTACTGTATTCACCCCTTCCTGGCTATCATGACTGATCCAAAGTAACCACACATGACCTAAATAGGGTCGATCCTTCCCATTTTAAACATAATCTTAGAGAGAGGCACTTTCATTCCTCCGTGTTCAGGGTCTGTACGAGTATGACCTTGGAGCAGCTGATGGCCAAACTCCATACCTGTGCAGAAACCCAAGAAAAAGCAGAGACCCTCAAAGTAGACACAAGCGCTGGTAAGAGATAAGAAGCAGTTCTGATGCATTATAATACCATCTTGTCAAGTTCCTGAGACCAGCTGCATGCACTCCTACCTTTCTGGATTTAGTTACTTCTCTTTTCTTTGCTTAAGTTTGAGTTGGTTTTTGTCACTTGTAACCAAAAGAGAACACCCAAAGCTATGAAACAAGAAATGGATGGGCTTTCAGTAGGTAGTATTTGCACTATCATCTACTAAGATTTAAGCATTAATTTTGTCCTCCAAGGAAAGAAGAAAGCTATCTCCCTAGTATTATTTTAAAATTTTTACAGGGATAAGACATATTATATACACAATAAAGGATTAAATGCAGAGTCTGTAAACATTTTAAACTATATTTCTTAAGATTAAATCAGGGAAGAATTGAGGTGTACTAAAAAGAATAATGATTTAGGAACCAGGAGACTTGTCTCTGTGCTACTGTGTTACCTTGGCGTATCACTTACACTCACTAAGCTACAATATCTTCACCCGAAAAGTGGGAATGTTCTACATTCTTTCCAAGTATTACTGGCTTCCAGTGCTGAAAGCACATTATTTTGAGGATATAAAACATAATCCTCATTCTAATTATTCCGTATTTAATAAAGAAAAAACTGTAAATTTATTTTAACATAAATTTTACTTTCTTTTCTATTTGAGATTACTTTTAAAACATGAAATTTTCAAGAATTACTAATGTAAGCAAAAATTCACTCCAAATAAAAAATGTGAACCCCAAATGAAGATATTCAAGAGAATGAATATCTGGCATAAATGGTCTCTTAAAAACAGGGCTTTATTTTTCCAATTACTTTAAGATATTTAAAACTAGAAATTTTACATTTCTTTCTTTCTCGATCCTACTAATGCATAACCGAGTATCCTTGTCCTGTTACTAATTAAATCTTCAGAAAATTTTAATTTAGTAGTCTGCAATACCACAAAGTATTTTAAACTAGTAGTAAATGGGGGAAAACTCAATACAAACGTCAGGCTGGGGAGATAGAAGGTGGAGTAAAAAAACTCTGAATCGAACTCACCAAACTATAAAGAATTTTATCCTCAGTATTAAGTTTTAAAATTGAAAGGGCAAGTTTTCTAATTGAAGTTTTCAGATTCAAATGAGCTAATTTTGTGACATTTTACTCCTCTGGTCACGGCCTTACAACAAAGCAAAAATTTAAATCAAACAGAAAAGCCACAACTTTGGGAAACTTTCTGAACCTGCACTTCGAAAAGTTCAGGTCCCGGATCTATTCCACCTGTGGGGCCCCGTGTCTACAGTGAATCGATGACACCACAGATATCCCCCAAACTGAGATTAAAAAACATTTACCCTCGTATTGCTGTGGCAATAAAAAGGGAACCTTACTCTAGGTAAATCCTCGTCGCCCAGCCTAGCAGGGAATCGTACATCTCTTTAAATAGATCAGACTTAGCCCTTCCGCCGGGGTCTTGGGAGGGGAAAAGGAAAAGGAATTCACTGACTCACGGTCAAGGCCCCACGCCCCCGAGCAGGAGCTCCGCCCAGGGTCCCGGCAAGTCTCCCGAATTCAACAGGGCTCCGACATAGACGAGGGCTTCCACTGTTTGGGGCTTGAGGTCGCTTCCCCGCGGAGCCACGAAAGGAGGCCTGTGCGTGGCAGTCACAGGACAGACTCACCTCAGCATCTTCTTTGCACTGTGGGAGCGAGGGGAACTCCAGCTTCATGTCCTCCATGGTCCCGGCCCGCAGGCTTGTGGCACGGGTGGAAGTTAACCCGCCGGCCCGACCCTCAGGCTGACAGTGGCGATGAAAGGAAGGAGGGCTGGTGGGTCGGAGGGCTGACGGGCGGGCAGTGGGCTTACAACTAACACACGCAGACTAAAGGGTCCCAACGACTCCGGCGGCGGCGGCGGCGACAGCGGGGAAGAAGAGGGTTGGGCAGCTCATACCCTGCCGCCATGCTGCTGCCGTCTCCCTCCCGCAATCTACAGGCCCCTCAGACCGCCGCCCAGGCTCTGGCACAAACCCTAACGCTACAACCGTCTTCCGTCCTCGCCCCGCCCTCCCCGCGCCGCTCCAGCCAATCGCAGCCCCACGCTTGCCTTCGGCCCGCACCCCACCCCCCACGGCCGCCAGGTGTCAGCGCGCCACCGCCCCGCCCCCTCGAGAGGGCGCAGACGCAGAGGGCGAAGCTCCGGAGGCACTACCGCCGGAGCTTACCGGGCGTGATGGAAGGTGGGGCTGCGGAAGAAGGGAGGAAACGGCTTAAGGTCCTGGGAAAATCCAAACCAGCTCCGCCCTTTCCGGGCAGGACGAACATCCCTGTTTTGGTGTAAGAATGGGGAAAGAATCCTAGCCACCAGACTAGCACCCGGAAGGAAAACTAGTTTCTCCCGTCTCCGAATCCTGCGCAATCTGCAGTGAGATTATAACCGAGGTAAATGAGGAGCTTATTTTAAAAAGTTATGCTACACAAAAAATAAAACATCCGTCAGTTTTACACAAACTGAAACGGTGGACTGTTAAGAATACTTGGCCTATGACTAGAAAATCTCAAGAAAGAATGGCAAATAGACAAAATAAGAAACGGAACTGATAGCTCACTCAGTAAATTGTAATACTGAAGAAAGGTCTCTCCCTTTGCTTCTAAGTTTATTAGTATTCCAACATAATAAATTATGTGGCTCTGATTATCTTTTAAAGAGTTTGAATCAGAGTTAATACTATATAATTAATAAAGTTTAGGTATGTGATAACTTTCTCTGGGCCTGTGGATATACTACTATCCTTTTTGTTTTTAAACGCATGAGGAAAATCAAGCTTAGAAGTGGAAGAACCCAAACTTTCAAGGTCTGTACACCAAACTGATTCTTTAAACAACCATCACCAAAGTAAAAGGACAAGTCATTCACTAACTAAATTGCAAATTACAATGGATAAAGTAAAAAGAATTACATGGATATTTGACCTAAACTCCCGTGACATTCTATTACTTTTTATATTGTCATATTTATGAAATACATTGCCAACACACATATAGAACTGACCAATAATGTAAGTATGAGATGGCTAGCTTGAGTGTTCCATTTTCTTTACCACTATGTAAACTGCTCTTTATCTTCTAAGGTTATAAAAAGGCACACAATACTCTGCTGGTTTTTAATTCGAAGAATGTCCAATTACCAAGGTCATATATATTATTCATTCTTTAGTGTGTATGAAACTTAAGTTCCTTGTTTAACAGCACCTTTAACAATAAGATACTCTACATTGATACCCAATGATGAGTTAAAAGCTTTAATTGCCACATGATATAAGAATTGTGTATAGGGAACAACTTTGTTTTGAACATTTCTGACATCAACATCCCCTACATCAGACATTCTTGGCCTGGTATCCATAGATACCTATACAGTCCTCAAGTGAGCTTGGTAAATATTAAATTTCCTTGAAGTCTCAGCATCCACAAAACTGTGTGTACGTATGTGTGAATTTTTCTGGGAAGAAGGTCCAGACAGTGACATTCTCAAAAGGGAACTATGATCTCACATCAATCAAGAAAACCAAGTCTATTAGCAAATACTAATTTAATCATAATCTAAAAGAAGGTTATGGAGGTGCATGTCAATCTAACTATCACAAAGGAGGAATATACAGAGACGTACACACATAATCTATGTTATACATAACAAGGTATTCATAAGAGCTTAAGAGTATTTAAGAGTACATAATGGGTACTGTTTTAAACTAAAATCCAAAAGCTTACCATCTAATATAACTTCATCTTGGTTTTTAAATAGTTCGTTTACTAAAGAACCTAAAGGGCCATAGTAAATGTATTGTTAAAAAAGACAAGAATGAATAATATATGTATTCAATATCAAATAATATATCAAATCAAACAGATTTTATTCAACTTTTTCGGATGAAGAAAATAAATGATTTAAAGTAAGTCATAAGAAATGCTCTCTTGTACTGTTATCTCAAACCACTTTCAATGTTTTACAAAATGTTCACACAGCAAATATGAAGAGCTCCAACATACTCTTTTATAACTTCTGCTGCAATAAATGCAACATGAACATACAAATTTCTTCTGTACCAATTTTAAAAGCAGAATTACTGAACTAATTTTTATAGTGTTATTTATACTTATTTTTATTCATACTCTTTTAATGAGATCATTGCCAATATATACATTATTTTCCTTAATTTTATTTTTACATGAAGTCATTATCATGCAGCCATCAAAACACCTTACAGTAAATTATACAGGTTTGTAGTCCAATTTAGACTCTAGCTTCTTAGAATCAGCCACTTTTCTGACTGCTTTCATGAAGTCTTCCTGTACTACAAAATCATGATCAGCACGAATTGCAAACATACCTGTGGAAAATAAAACAACATGACTGTCTTATATAATATGTGAAATATTTGTTTATGACAAGAAAACTAAGAAGGGTGAGCAAAATGGATGAAGGTAGTCAAAAGGTACAAACTTCCAATTACAAAGTCCTGGGATGTGCATCATATAACTATACTTAATAATACCATATTATATATACATTTGAAAGTTGCTGAGAGTAGATCTTAAAAGTTCTCATCACAAGAAAAAAAATTTTTGTAATTATGTGTGGTGATGGAAGTTAACTAGACTTACTGTAGTGATGCAATGTATACAATATTGAATCATTATGCTGTACCCCTGAATAGGTTATTTGTTAATTTTATCTCAATAAAATAAAAAATTAAATAATGTAATTCTATAGAGTAAATGTGAAGAAGCCTAGATTTTCTACTTCTATACCAGTAGCTCTAATTTGTTAAAAACCACTGTCATTGTTCAATTAATTTCCATAGCTATAGTGAGCATTATTTTCCAAAGCAAGAGCTAGAACACAATGAGACAACTATCTGGATATTTAAAATCCAGCTCACCCAGCCCCTGTATTCAAAAGCATCTTGAAAAAAACAAAACCCAACTATCAACAAAACATACACATTTTAAGCAGCACTTTAACCCTATAGGCAATTCCCTGGAAGGAGGGAACACATGTGTGGTTTGGAAAAACACCTCCAGTAGTTTTGATAGCCTTTCCTTATTAATAACCAAAGCTTAGAGAATAGGAATTAAAGAGAGCCAACAGTGGGCTTTGACAAAAATCAGTGCCAGTATTCACATATTAAAATTCATCTTATTTATGTACAAACTGTCATTTTTATATGACTTTCACATTCAAGTATCACAATTCAGTTTTTTCTTTCAAGTTTTTGACAAGTTACTTGTCAAATACTACTTGACAAATGGGTAGAAGTTCTGTCTTTTTTAACATGAGTTGTGTCCTGGATATGGGTCCCAGATTTTGAAACAATCCTAACTTCATGATAAACTAAAGATGGTAAATTATCACTATCTACTAATTAAATGTATCCTACCAATATTTTCATGAGAATCTGTTTATATTGAATTTTTACTTACTTAAAATGAGTGGGTTGGCATAGAAGATTCCAAGGGTTACTTCCTATCTTCCCTTTTAAGATTTCTATATAAGGAGTCTTAGAAATAGCCAGTTTATATTGTTCTCAGAAATCAGATGAATGGAAATGACTGTTTTTTAATAGTTTGAAAACCTGTTTAGAAGGCACAACTAAAATAGTTATTTTTCCAAGCTTTGTGTATATGACTACTTCCAAATCATTGTTGAGAGATATATGCTAATAGAAAAAGGATAATCTCAGCATTTGAAAGACAACTATAACTGAATCAAGTGTATTTTAACTTAAAGATATGTTGACAAAAAAGGACTGAAGTCTAATAAAAAGAAAACCGGAGAACTTCAGTCTATCTCCAGACATGAGTGTCCTACCTAGTTAAAAAGTTAAAATTTTAATCCACACAGAAGTTATAGCTCTCTATTGGAAAAAGCTAAGAAGTTTTTATGAGTATGTGAGGTACAAACTTCCAGCTATAAAATAAATGAGTACTAGAGATATAACTGCAACATGATGACTACAGCCAACACTGCTGTATGATACACAGGAATGTTGTTAAGAGAATAAATCCTAAGACTTCTCATTACAAGGAGAAAAAAATTTCCTTTTTTGTTTTTACGGTATCCATGAGAAGATGGATGTTAGCCGAACCTATTGTAATCATTTCACAATATATGTTAATCAAACAATCATGCTGTATGCCTTAAATTTATACAGTGATATATGTCAATTATTTCTCAATAAAACTGAAAAGAATGAAAAAAGACAGAATGTCGTAATTATCTCATCCTTTAAGATATGACACTGCTTTTGTTTGGAGTCCAACCGCACCAAAGCAATCTAATAATTTGGTCCACTGTAGATTTTGGCAAGAAAATCTCATAAGTTACTCTGAGTAGTTCAAGCCACAATAAGTTTACCTCTGAATATTTTTGTTTATTAGTAAGTCTTTGTGAGCACAATTTACTCTGATTTGTGCTCAGTTTCCAGACCTACATATCTTTGATTCCAATACTGAGTCACAGTTATACCTCATGAAGACATTCCTATGGAGAAGCCACATCTGAGCAGCCTCTTTAAATGCTGTTGAATTTATAAAAAATATTAAAATAAAGCTAAAGGTGATATGAAAGAGGAAATCACATTTTGTATTACTCAAAATAACTGCTCATCTGCAAATGTTCATCAGTAACTATAAAAATTACTATAGAAATTAATTTTTTCAATGTTAAGAATCTGTGTGGAAGACAAAGACTAAAGGACTCTATAGAGGGTTTAAGAGCCACTTGGTATCAGAAATAAAATAGGATCACACAATCCAGAGAAAACTCTATTTAGAAACTATTACATCTTACACAAGTTGCATGATCACAACATTCATAAATTAATCATAAATTCCTGACAGACTAATATCAGCAAACATGTCATCCATTTTGCAGCAGATACCTCTGGCCCAGTCTGATTTCACCCAGAGGTGTGGCAGACAGTTGTATAGTCCCAGACTTAACTTCAGGAAGCCAGTATGCTATCACATGCATACCATTCACATTCTGCCTTAAGGCATCCAGATGTGCAAAGGAGTTAACATCCCCAAGGCAAATCTCATGCAACGTGGAATGAGAGCTGGTAAATAAATACTACAGTTTCCCATATTTCAGCCAGGTAATTCTGAAAGGCATTCTGTATGTTTCTCTGTGGTCTCATCAGAATCAAATCCCGACTACATTAGCTACGTTTATGGTGCACCACTATAATAGCTTTCTGTCTTTCCATCTCACTTGCCATATTCTCTCCTGCTACTTAGAACCAACTCCCAAAAAAACAAGCACCCAAATCCTTGCAAAGTCCTATTTTTGGACAAACCCAAACATGTTAGCAAATTAAACAAATCAAAATGAATAGTAAAAACAGTACTTTAAAACCTTACCTGCTTCAGTACAAACATTTCTCAGGTCTGCTCCATTAAATCCATCTGACAGCTTCACAATTGCTTCATAATCTGTTTAGGAAAAAAAATACTGAAATTTAGTAAAAAAAAAAAAAAAAACCTTTTCTTGATTATGTCCATAGGTAAAATTTAACTACAGAATTTGCTTTAAATTTGATCAGTTAAGACATAATTGTCTTTGTGAGCACAATTTACTCTGATTTGTGCTCAGTTTCCAGACCTACATATCTTTGATTCCAATACTGAGTCACAGTTATACCTCATGAAGACATTCCTATGGAGAAGCCACATCTGAGCAGCCTCTTTAAATGCTGTTGAATTTATAAAAAATATTAAAATAAAGCTAAAGGTGATATGAAAGAGGAAATCACATTTTGTATTACTCAAAATAACTGCTCATCTGCAAATGTTCATCAGTAACTATAAAAATTACTATAGAAATTAATTTTTTCAATGTTAAGAATCTGTGTGGAAGACAAAGACTAAAGGACTCTATAGAGGGTTTAAGAGCCACTTGGTATCAGAAATAAAATAGGATCACACAATCCAGAGAAAACTCTATTTAGAAACTATTACATCTTACACAAGTTGCATGATCACAACATTCATAAATTAATCATAAATTCCTGACAGACTAATATCAGCAAACATGTCATCCATTTTGCAGCAGATACCTCTGGCCCAGTCTGATTTCACCCAGAGGTGTGGCAGACAGTTGTATAGTCCCAGACTTAACTTCAGGAAGCCAGTATGCTATCACATGCATACCATTCACATTCTGCCTTAAGGCATCCAGATGTGCAAAGGAGTTAACATCCCCAAGGCAAATCTCATGCAACGTGGAATGAGAGCTGGTAAATAAATACTACAGTTTCCCATATTTCAGCCAGGTAATTCTGAAAGGCATTCTGTATGTTTCTCTGTGGTCTCATCAGAATCAAATCCCGACTACATTAGCTACGTTTATGGTGCACCACTATAATAGCTTTCTGTCTTTCCATCTCACTTGCCATATTCTCTCCTGCTACTTAGAACCAACTCCCAAAAAAACAAGCACCCAAATCCTTGCAAAGTCCTATTTTTGGACAAACCCAAACATGTTAGCAAATTAAACAAATCAAAATGAATAGTAAAAACAGTACTTTAAAACCTTACCTGCTTCAGTACAAACATTTCTCAGGTCTGCTCCATTAAATCCATCTGACAGCTTCACAATTGCTTCATAATCTGTTTAGGAAAAAAAATACTGAAATTTAGTAAAAAAAAAAAAAAAAACCTTTTCTTGATTATGTCCATAGGTAAAATTTAACTACAGAATTTGCTTTAAATTTGATCAGTTAAGACATAATCTCTGTTAACATTCTACACTATTAACAACCAAAAACTGTACTTTTGTTAAATAAACCAGCATTAAGCAGAAATAAACATACTTCTAAAATTTTAAAACCAAGAAATATCAAGATCTGAAAGCACCTTAACCTGTTTCTACACAGTGAAAGTTTTGCACATATAAACTTAAGATATCTGTCAAGCTAACTTATAACTGTAACCAAACCTTTAATTTGAATATGCCTGGAACATTCAAAACCAACTAATCACAATGGGTGATCTAATCAAGCTGTTTGCTGTCCTCTACCCTAGTCCAATCTCTCATTTTTATACATAGTAACTATTTTATAACTTCTCCTGTCTTCACATCTCTTACAATACTTCCCCATCTTCACTCTGAACGTGCTACTTATTTGAGAAAACAAAAGCATTAAGAAGTTCCTGCCATATTTGAGAACCTGTTACCACTATTATCTATGTATTGTTTTCCCTCTTATTCTCATAATTGAAAAGTCTATACTCATAAACAGGGCCAGCCTCTCTTCAAGGAAAGTGCATTTTCAATTTTGCTTTCTCTCTCTCCCCTGTATCATTCCCATCAGCATAAACAAAGTTTTCCCATCTTAAAGAAAACTCCCCCAAATCCTCATCTCCATTTTTGCTGTAGGTCAGTTTCTTCTTCTCTTCGCTGCAGAAGTTCTTGAAAGAGATGTCTAAATTCAATACCTCTCCTCCCAGTCTCTCTCAAGCTCATCTGAAGTAGGCTTTCTTTCCACTACTTCAAAGAAATTTCTTTTCATAAGGTCACCAATGGTCTCCACTTGGTAAATCCAAATGTCAGCCTTCAGAACTCTTCTCATCTGGCCCATTGTCAACATTTGATGGGTAATTAGTTCCTCTATAACAAATTTTTTTTTTTTTACCTTCCAGGACATCACCTGCTCCTGGTTTAATTCCTAACTCTGTTACTATACATTCTCAACTATCCATTGATGGTGCTTCATCTCAGTTTCTTTATGTCGAAATAGGCTCAGTTTTTAAATCTTTTTTTTATCCACATTCACTTCCTCAGAAATCTCATCTAATCTCAAGACTTTAAACACAATTTTCTTGCTGATAATATCCACATTTGTATCTCCAGCACAGACAACCCAAATGAAATACTGGTGCATGTAGAATTACTAATCCTCATAATTTATTTGGATATCTAATTGCCATATCAAATTTCATATATCCAGAATCAATTCCTCATTCTTGCTTTAATACCTAATCTTTCCAGTCTTCCCCCATTTTAACTGATGGCACCTCCATCTTTCCAGCTGCATGAATCAAAAATCTAAGTCGTCCCCGGTTCTTCTTTAGCTTGCACTCCATATATGGACTCATTAGCAAGTCTTGTCAGCTCTATTTTTTCAAAATATATCCAACATCTCACTACTTCAAAAGACTTTTGCTACCACCTTTAACCAAGCCACCATCATCTTTTGCCTGGATTACTGAAATAACCTCCTAACCAATCTTCTTGTTTCTATCCTTGTCCCGCTGCATGCAGCCAGAATGATCTTATTGAGCATAAGTGAATTTTTAAATCTTTACAGATGAAATGATAGAAAATCTGGAAATTGCTTTTTTTAAAAACAGAGGGAAGGGAAGAGGCAGGAGAGATTACAGATGAAACCAGACTGACCAAGAGTTACTAACTGTTGAAGCTGGGGGATGAGTACTTCAGGTTAGAAGTTCATTATACTCTTATCTCTACTTTCTTATATTTCTAATTTCTTGTAATACAATTTAAAAATAACAAACATATCATCCTTCTGCTCACAATCCTCACAATAGTATCCATATCAGTAAATATAAAAGCGAAAGTTCCTACACAATGGCCTCAATAAAGCTCTACACAATCTCTTCCCCATTACTTCTGTAAGTTCACTTGCCATTACTGTCCTGTTTACTCTGCCACAGATCACTTTGGCCTCTCTTCTGCTCCTAAATGTTCCTGTTATGAACCTGCTTCAACAACTTCTTATTTGTTGCCTTTGCTACACACATATCTAGTTCCTTCACCTTTTCACGTCATTGCTTAAAAAATCACCTTCTTAGGAAGGCCTTCCCTGAGCTTCCCCCTCTCTGCTGCCATTTAAAAACATATATATTCAGGTAGAAATGTGTTTTGCTCATTGCTCTGTCCCCAGCACTTAGAACAATTATCAGCATACAGTAGATGACCAATAAATATTAGCTGAATTTAAGACTACCATGTTTGCTAAATTTAAAACCAGATTTGATAGACAAGCCTATCAGTGATATCCAGCAGCATTTTGTTTCATTTAAGAAATGTAAATATATATAAAACAGGTTATTTCCTTACCTATTTCACCATGCTTTGTAATGGGACCTGCATGAATTTTCAGTATATCTAATCTTGCTTGTTCATTTGGTAAATCAATATCTGCAAATAAGAAATTACAAGAAATTATTTTGCAGTCAGACATTTTTTGCTGTTTTTTGTTTTTTAAATAAAGTAGGGGGTGAAAAGATATGGGAGATATGAGAAGAGAAATGGACATAGACAAAGGGAAATGGACAATAGGTAAAGAACCTGAACTCACGTATTTTTCTATCTAATCTTCCTGGACGAAGCAAAGCAGGATCCAATGTATCTGGTCTATTTGTAGCCATTATCATTTTAACTCTATGTAGAGTATCAAATCCATCCATTTGATTCAGTAACTAAGAACATATTTATAAATAAAAATCACAGATTTTTAAAACATCCCAACAACCAAAAAATATGGTATAATATGTCTAATACCATGAAACATACTTGCCTATAAATAGATATATGACCTTCAGAAAGATCACTTGATGGAATCTTATTTTTCCTCTCTCTTATAACAAAGGGATATATTTTCCATCCTCAAAGTTCCAAGATAGATTATTTAACTGTGTACCTTTTTATAGCTACCAGATAGTTTTAATAAATGTTAAGGCTTCCATTTATTGAAGAATTATGAAACTAAACTATGTGGATCTGATTTCCAACATCTGAATTTTTTTCATACCATTACTTAAAAAAAAAAAACACAATATAATGTAAACAGCCGATGGTATGCCATACATAAAATTTATAGTAGTATAACCAGATGCCATAATGATTTTTCTACAAACTTGGTAATAAATCCATTAAATATTTTTCAACTAATTCTTTGATACATAGAAAAACTGAGACACTAAACATATTTCCTTCGATTCCTAAAGTTTCCCTGAATAAATGTTGAAGATGTAAGTGCATCCAACAAACTTTAAAATATAGCTAGCCCAACATGTCTATTTCTTTCCCAAAATGTTAGCAGAGAATGTCAGTTACATGAATAAAACTAGTCTCTGCAATATTTAAAAATACCTTAATATAAGTTTTCTAAGAGACTCTATAACTAATTTTAAAATACTGTGTATCTTCTAAGTAGATCAGTATAATTTATGAGAAGTAATTTTCAAATACCCCTACTGAGACAGAATTTGACATGTATTACCTGTGCCACCTAGCTTCTATTTGTAGAAGTCGGAAAATGTGTTTGGGATCTTGGTAACACTTTCCCAGCATTTGGAGTGGAAAAAGGGAAAATGGGGAAAGGCTTTGTGTGCTTTCTAATATGCCATCATCCATCTTCTTCAATTATAAACTATTTTAGTTTCCTCTCATCTCAGCAACAGAGGAAAGTGTCAATGATTTTTAGCAGCCTCATACGTAATTTTAACTCATTTATTGTCCCATTTTAGTGTGTCCATTATTCATAAAATGTCTTAATAAAACTAGCACAAGATCACATCCACAAAATAAGAAATATACAATTTAAATATCTGAATGGCGTGGCTGCTAAAAAAGCAAACAGTACAGCTATACATCAAATGGAATTCTGTAGATACCTCTATTATTTTCTAGTCGTAATTTTCTTGCTACAGATTATGGCAGAGAAATGTATTCATTCTATAGTATTTTCAAATTTCATACATAAGCGTATTCTTCACTTAAAATGATTGCACATATTTTGACCTTTAAATATCTAACGTTTACCTCTTCATTTAATAAACACTGATTTTTTAATAAACCCCCTTTACCAAATATTACCTCCATTAAAGTTCTCTGAATCTCTCTGTCAGCTGAAGTACCCTCAGAAAACCGACGCCCACCTAAAATAGTAATATAGAAACTCATTACTCTTTTCCCCCAAAACTGTTCTTTAATAAATCAGAATACGATAGTGTCTGGAGTTAAGATGAAAATAATAAGAATTATACTAACAAAGTTAGTACTGATTTTGGTCTAATGTTTCTCATTTTCTCAATGTCCAAGATTATTAAAATTGGTTAAACTGTCTTAAGAATTATTTAAAGTAACATCCAATTCATTTTGCTACATTACACAAGCTGCAAGTAGAGGTAAAGAGGGCCAGGGAGTTTCAGATTTTTAAAAAAATTTCCTTACACTTCAAGAAAAGTTTAAAATAAATTTTAAAAGGTGTTACTCTTACCAATAGCATCTATTTCATCCATAAAAATGATGCATGGCTGATGGTCCCTGGCATAATTAAACATTTCTCTGATCAAACGAGCACTTTCACCAATGTACTTGTCTACAATAGAACTAGATACAACCTGATTAAAAGAAAAACATTAAGGTCAACATAAGACAATTCAATAAAACTTAATATCAACAGCTACAACAATAATTTCCGTTTACCTTTAAGAAATTGCAGTCCAATTGGCTTGCAACAGCTCGTGCCAAGAGTGTTTTTCCTGTACCTAGGAATGACAAAATTTTAATCCTAATTAGTTGGAAACAAAGCAAATTTTCAAAAGCCTTTTACATATAGAATTCTGTGGATATTAAACTTTACAAAATAGAAGCTACATCCTAAATGAAATTTTCATTTAAAATTCTAAAGCACTTCTATTCTCAAGATTTTTAAATTTTATTCAAAATATCCCTTACAATTTTAAGCACACTGAATACTTAAAAAATGTATCAAACCCTGGTTTATAGGTCATATTGCATGATCAAAACCGAAAGTTTCTGTGATGACTGCCCTTGTACTGTTCACCATGTAAGAATTTATTCACTCTGTAAGAATTCGTTCACCATGTAAGAACGTGTTCGTTATGCTTCAGAAGATTGGAGACTGACGAGAATTAGGCTTGAGATGGATTAATGATTGC